AGATACATCCTAAATGATCACCCCCAAGTTCATAGTTTCACAGATCTCCAGGGCAGGGTCATGGTGCAGCCACATTCTTTGCTAAGGCCAATCAAATGTAACCTTGGCTCCTGTTCACAGGAAATTCCTCATTTTCATCTGAGACCTTTTAAGTCCGGCCTTCACTGTCCATCCTTCTGTCAACCCTCTCATCACAAGTATTTAACAATTCTTTTCAGTGGTCCAAACTTTTCCTCATCTTGCTGTCTTCTAAGTGTTCCCAACTTTCCCGACTTCTGTCTTTTACCCACTTCTGAACCTGCGTCTACATTCTCAGCTATCTTTGTCACAGCCTGGTAATGTGTAAAAGAAGAAAAGTCCATTTTCAGGGGAAAATTCACGAGGGCTTCAGATATTTTCATGAAAAGAAGCTGAGTGCTGGTTGCCAGGACAATGGGGAAAAGGCCTTGAAGGCATTTCATAACTCCACTTCACAGCACTAATTTTGTGTATAATCATAAAGAAAAGAGGTTTAATTGGCTCACGGTTCTGCAGGCTTTAAAGGAAGCATAGTGGCTTCTGCTTCTAGGAGGACTCAGGAAGCCTCCCAATCATACCAGAAGGCCAAGGGGCACAGAGATGCTTCATATGGCAGGAGTAGGAGCAAGACTGAGAGAGGAAAGAGGTCCCATACCCTGTTATACAACAAGATCTCATGAGAACTCAGTATCACAAGGTCAGCATTAAGAAGATGGTGCTTAACCACTGGTGAAGGATCTACCCCACCAACCTCACTTCCACCACCCACTGTTTCCAGGCAGAAGCCCGCTGCACAGGCAGAGCCAGATTCATAGACCCAACAACAGCTTGCACCCTCACTATGGAAAAGCTACAGGCACTCAACACTAGCCCAGTCCATGAGAGCAACTGTGGGGACTAAAACCTGCAAAGTCACAGGTGCACTGCCCTAGCAGTTTTCCATGAGGCCATGCCTCGGAAGCAGGCAACTCCCCACTCCCACTACACCCCACCCTTCCACCACCCTACAGCCAGCCTACTCCTCTCCACCCTACCCACCTCTTTTTCCTTCCACCACTACCCACCTTCCATCCATGATTAAATCACTCCCACCAGGCCCTCATCCTTCTGTCATTCTCTAATCCCTCCAAACCATCCCAATCTCTGTTTGCTACCCACTTTCAACCTGTTCCTACTTTTTCAGGTATCTCTATAGCAGGTTAGCTATGTAGCAATAACACAAAACCCGATTTAAGGGGGAACATTCAAGAAGACTTCAGAAATTTGCATATAAAGAAGTCCTGTGCTAATAGCCAAGACAAATGGAAAAAGGCCTTGAAGACATTTCACAGCTCCTCTCTGCAGTTCTAATTTTCTGTATTATCATAAATAAAAGAGGTTTAACTGACTCGGGATTCTGCAGGCTGTGAAGGAAGCATAGTGTCTTTTGTTTCTGGGAGGAGTCAGGGAGCCTCCTAATTATACCAGAAGGCCAAGGGACAATGAGCTGTCTCCCATGGCAGGAGTAGGAGCAAGACAGAGGAAAGAGGTTCCACAGCCTGTTAAACAGCCAGATCACATGAGAACTCACTCACTGTCAAGAGGACAGCATCAAGGGGATGGTCCTTTATCATTTGTGAAGGATCTACCCACACCATTTTATGACTAAATCTTTTTCCACCTAGGCCCTGCCTCTAACATTAGGGAGTATAATTCCACATGGGTTTTTGTAGGGACACAGAGACAAACCATATTATTCTGTCCCTGACCCTACAAATGTCATGTCCTTTTCACATTGTAAAATACAATCATGCCTTGCCAGCAAGAGTCTTAACTCATTTAAGCATTAACTCGTTTCAGCATTCACTCAAACTTACAAAGTCCAAAGTCTCATCTGAGTCAAGGCTACAGCCTCTTTTACCTATGAGCCTCTGAAATAAAAAGCAAGTTCACTGCTTCTAAGGTACAATGACGGTGCAGGCATTGTGTAAGCTTTCCATATCCAAAAGGAAGACATTTCCCAGAAAGCTTCTTATTTCTATCTGAGGCCTCCTCAGCCTGGCCTTCACGGTCCATGTTTCTGTCAGGATTTTTGTCACAACCATTTAACCAGTCTCTAAGATGGTCCAAACATTTTCTCATCTATCTGTCTTCTTTTGAGCCTCCAAACTCTTCCAACGTCTGTCCATTGCCTAGTTCCAAAACTGCTTCCACATTTTTAGGTATCTTTATAGCAATGCTCCAGTCCTCATTTGCCATTTTCTGTATGATTTATTTTGAAAAAGAGGTTTAATTAGCTCATGGTTCTGCAGGGTGGACAGGAAGCACAGTGGCTTCTGGTTCTGGGAGGCCTCAGAAACCTTTCAATCTTCGTGCAAGGAAAAGAGTGAGTTGTCTCACACGGCAAGAGGAAAACACACAGAGTAGGAACATGACACAGAGTTTTCAATGAACAGGTCTCATGAGAAGTCACTCAT